TTTAAGTGCCATGATTATACAATAAAAAAAGGTAAAACAAATATCGACATCAAATCGATATGACAGCAATAATGATTAAAAGAAAAGAAAATCAAAGAAAAAGAAAATATTTATAAAACAGAATAAAAATATTTTTCTTCTTAAGAAGCGGAAATGGCATTCGATGAGATTCAGTGAGTGCATCTTCTGAAGGATGGGCGTATTGTTAGCGATTTTGGAATTTTCATTTTGAACATAACTGAAAAAAATTCTAAATAATAATAATAATAATAATCAACAAAGAACCAAAATTTAAGGCCCGTACTAATCCTGAAAATGAAATGGGAATAAAAAAATCACCCCGCGTGGCTAAGGCCTATTACGAGCACAAAATTATGACACCGCTAGAAATCTAACACATCAGCGGTGTGCGGAAAGCGAAGTTAAATCTAAGAACAGAACTTCAAAGTAAAACCTGCCAAGAAGATCTTATCAGACACATATTTGAAATAAAGGAATAACTTCTAAAGATCATTTTTTTACGCAATAATTTTATGCACGAAAGATCTAGACTCGTATTATTATTATTATTATTATTATTATTAACATATACAACGATAAAGTTACAGCAGGAGATGGAATTAGTTGTTAACAAGAAAGAAGGGATAAACCTTTCCTCCTATTTCATAAACCAGGAAGGATTGTTGGTCGGATGATAGGCGAATCTATCTACTCCTATTAACCTGTTCACAAATCAGGAAGCTAGGCGCTTTTTATCAAGACATTATCTCAAGGAAGGTTACAAAATAAGGCCGTAAAGTACTACCAGATCAAAAGAAAATTACTAAATTTTTTTAACATCTCTTAAGGTTATCCACATATTAAGCGCTATTTATTTAGAGATACTTGGTAAAATTTGAAGAAGAAGATGCAATGTTATTGGTTCTGAGCTGGCATCTCGGCTTCAGTCACTTTCCCAGCGCCGTAATGTAACTTCCCTCTGCCCTTTCTATAAATACTCTCATAGTAATTGTTTTGATTAATTTTCCGCTATTTTTACATAGAATTTATGAATTTAACCGCAGTACGAGATTACTGTCAAGGTCTCATCCTTTTGTACTTGAAATGGCTAAATGTAACCATGTCTTATTCTAGCAAGTTCTTCTATCATACCTTTCGCTTGTGTATCTGTCTATATTTCTGAGATGATTTATTATGTACAATATTTACATTTGCATATCTTTTTTAACAGAGCCACAAAAATCTCCTGAGCCGACCAAGCATAGAAGTGAATACAATACGGGAACCAGTAATAAGGACACATGGCACAGAGGATAGAGGCGTTAGTTAGATCCAGTGACACACAGGACCCAAAGTGTGTGAGTTCAATACCTGGTTACAGTGGTGGAGAACTTGGGGAGGGGAATTAACAGGAAATAACTGATAACTGAAATCCATTAAACATGGCACATGGAACGAGAACAGTATACCCCAGTGAGCGAAATAAAGGGTTCATTTCGATATTCCAACCACCTGAAGAGCGTACAACGGCCGAAATGTTGTAATAAATATGGCGACAAAGATGAGGACTATAGTCCGAATAATGCAAATATTGTTTGTGGAATTATTTTCCAGGTTCTCACTTCTCAGTTAACTTATATATTTAGAAATTCTTGGTAAAATCTAATTTTGATTTTCAAAGATTTAAATGCAATGTAAATCGTTCTCTTCCGTATTCTTAATTCTTATTCTTTTATTGTTCTATCTCCTTAATAATATTTTTCTCATATTCTCTAATACTCTGTTGCCGCGTTACGTCTTAGTGGCTTTATTCCCTCTCTTGGGGTGAAATGATTAAAAAAAAGACAACCAATTAGAACTGAAAAAGTACAGCATACGAAAGGCACAGAAATTGCGACTATAAAAATAAAATGTTGCTACTATAATAAGTCAATGCAACTTTGAATAAACACATTGAAAAATCAAATCTTCTTCTCTATGTCCCTCAGTATGTGACTGAACGTGGGTCTCCACAAATTCCTATCCTTTGTAGCTTTTAGTAATGTATTTTAACATACCTCCTACTCTTCGTTCTGCCAATCATTCATATAAGCCCGTGAGGTTGGTAGCCCGTTGCAAGGGCAGGTTGATTTGCAACTTTTTTCAGAAAATCAACACAGCACTGGTGATGATAGTTGGGATTTGATGGGATAAAAACAGATACCAAAAATTAGATTCCTATCTTGAAAAGAAAATTGAGTATTTAATTATAAAATCGTATGGAAAAATGCTGAGAAATCCTTAATTTTCATAGCGTTTTACTAGAAACTGACTTTGAAATTTCACTATTTTAGTAATAAATTCAGTTAAAATTGATATATTTATATGAAATACATTGGAAATATATATATATATGAATTATAATTTTCATTATGAATCACAACTAGCAAAATATCTCAACTTTTACAGCATTGATTAAACAAAAATTGTTAAAAAGACTAATTAGCAACTGAGTCTTTTAAATTTCACAAATCAAAAAGATATGTGAAGATGTATTACACAATAAAACAACTGGATACAAGTCAGAGAACCAAGTATTTTAAATTTTATTGAACACAATAATAAAAACTGTGTTATAATAGAACTAAATTGTTCTGCGTAATTTCCTTTTGAGGAAAATGAAGGCCTAATTTGGTGGCACAATGACTTCGTAATAATGTGTCTATGTCTTGCTTCCTGCCCATATGCAACTTGTGAAGCTTCTGTTGTTAATTTCACAGCCCTTTCAACCCCTTGTGAATGGGCAGGTAATTTAGGAAGTTCTAGTTTAGTTCCTGTCATAGATGATTTCTCAAGTTCTTCATTTGTAAAACACTCTGTAAGGGCAGGTTCACAAACTCCAGTTTGAGAAAGATCAATCAAATTTGACCAGTGTGTGGCTGCAAAATTGATAGCAGTAATCTTTTTCAGTCTTTTTTTTTTGGTGGTTCACTATCTCTGAAAAAAAACAAAAAAAAACAATTTTTTGAAAACTTACTAATTTTTTTTATATTTTTGTGATGTAATTTGAATAAAACTGACTAAAAGCAAAAGCACTATATTTTATACTGTTAAAAACAGTATTTTGGATTTCCGTCAACTGTTGTTTTGTCCTCTGAATCATATTAAAGATATACAGTTGTTGGTTAAAAAAATTATTGTCGGTTTTGATCTCAAACCAACTAACTGCATACACTTGAATGATAAATTTGACCAGAGTGTTTAATTTATCATAGAGTGTTTGAGGATAGACACCTCTGGTCCATAAACACATTAACCTTGTGGCTAATGTTAGCCATCTTGCTTGATTCAAGGGCCCAATTTTCCAAGCTGCATATCTTGGGTTAACTTCTCCTCGGGAAATGCCAACAGCATACTCAAAAAGTAGCCTCTGGTCTCCACTTAAATTATTTGTTTCTTCTGCCGTCAGATAATGATAATCTAGAGGGCCACTAATTCTACTTGAGGCAAATCTTGATAATTATTGATACAAAGTTTACCTAAAGGACCAGTAAATGTTGTTGGGCTTCTTGTTGTTCCATCAATTAATTTAAAAATTGCTCTAAATGGCAGTTCATTCTGATGAAGTGAACATCCAATAGTATGTAATTTTTTGTTAATTTTTTTTTTCAAGAGCTGTAATAAGTCCTGCTTCACAGCCAGTGTTTGTACTGGTATTGTCCACCAAAATTGCTTTAACAGTATCTACACTGTTATATTCTGTTAAAACTGCAGCAACATCTTCAGCTAAGAGAACACCAGTTGCCCCCATGTTAGGTATCACTCTATGGGTAAGATATTTGCTCCCTGTTCCTGTTTCTCTGGTGAAAGTTAAGTGGCGCTCTGCTCCTTTGTTTTTCACTATCTTTTTTCCACCATTTTTATCTACAACTTCTTTGTATTGTAAAGTGTCCTTATCAACTCTACAATCAATTCCAACACAAACTAGATTATCATTTTCATGGACATGCTTCATATGGCTGGATAGTTTTATTCTAGTCTTTTCTCTGTCAATTTTTGACTTATCTAAAATGATGTCCTTTAAATTTACCTTTGGGTGAAGAAGGGCCATATGTTTTAGTTCCAGCAGAAAGGCATTAGCTAGGCAAGCACCAAGATTAGAAGATACATCACCTCTGATGAGTTCCATAGCATATCTTGGGATTTTTAAAAGGCTGTAAGGTCCCTTCGGCTGCCTTCCTGGGTCAAAACTGTCATCAGTTGTTCCTTCACTAGAAGATGACTGTAGTGAAATATTTGGGGAAGCTTGTTCCTGGCTTTCACTTTGCCTCTCCAGTCTCTCCACTTCAGCAGACTTTCTTTTATATTTTTTATAGCACCTTTGTCGATAGGTCCCAGTTGATAACGACCTTTTGGCCCTGTTTTTTCCCTCTGGTCCTTTAAGTATTAAGTATTCTCTGTCTTCTAGGGGAACCTGAAAATTGCAAAATTTGCATGCTTAATAGATCCAGAATACATGACAAATACCAATATATTATTTTATTTTCCACAAAAAGGAACATAATTTCAGGTGAATCTAGTTTTCAATTATTTCAGATGTTACAAATTGGTATTCAAATTATACTAAGTTAAAAAGGAATCATAGAATTAATCTTACCTTCTTGTTAGGAGGACAAGTGCAGACTATGTGTCTTGTTTGACAATTTTCTATCATGCACTGTACTGGAAAGGCATCACATCTCAAGACAGGATGTTTACAGCTACAAGAGGATATATGAAACAGTTTGTCAAGCTGTTCCTTCATTCTTTTCACTTTGGTTGCTGCAAGAGATTTCCTGTCAATCTGTTTGGCCCTCTTATAGCAAAATATATTGACCTTCTGTCCTATATAACGTTCCCTTAACAAGGGCAATTGTGGATTAACTGCTTGCCAAATACTAGTTATTTCCTTGGCAATTAACTTAGAAATCTCACAATTTTTTAAGTGGGGATAGTTGTTTTCTAGGAAATAACTAAACTGGATGACTTGTCGTAAAGTTGGTGGTTCTTTTTTATCCAAACAACATGGTGGACCAGCAAATCTTTCTGAACTACGTGTTAAAATTGAACGTCGTGCTTTCACTGACATTTTAATCTGAAAAAAAAAATAAATGGATGATAACTAAACCAAACTGTTTTAGGCTATCTTCCAGTTTCATATGTAAAAAAAAATAACTGCTAGTTATGGTAAGGAGTAATGAAAAGCTTTGGAGAGTTGAAGTAGCTTTATTGAGAAGACAGGACCAGACCAGACCAGAGACATACTAGTGCTTAGTTTAGACTAATTTTTTTTTTTTTTTAACAGACTTTCGCTCCTCTTTGGATAACATGAATTTATCCATAAAAGGATTCATTCTTGCTGTAGCTGTGCCATTTTAAACGAGTCTGTAGTGTTTTAGAGTTTGAAAAACTTTTAAAGCAATTTCTTTATTTACTCATATTAACCTTTGTGGGTTATCTGATTTTAAAACTATAATTTTAGAAAAACAATACTGCTTAAAAAAAATTACCCTCTAAAAATGAAAATTTGTCACTAATTTTCTGCAAAGTAATTTTTTTATTAACTAGAAAATCTTGAAAATTTACGTGGTTATGTTTCGTAAAGAATGTGTAGAATAAAATTGTATGGGTTATTTCTTTTTAAATATAAAACTGGAATATTGCCATATTTTAATAAAAACTTCAAATAGAATTTATTGTGAAATAGAAAAACAAATTAAAGAAAAATGTTAACTTACCATAAACGGGAATAATTTCTTCAGAGCATGAAACAAATACGTTTAAATTCGCTGCAGACACTTAAAATATAATATATATTTTAAACAAGTCTTTTTTCGTTTTTCCTTTCGAAATAATTAGGTCTTTAGCCTAAAATTGTTATTTTTTAAATTAAAAAACAAATGGACGTTAATTTCTCAAGCAATAACAAGCGTGTGTTTACAACGGTGTAAACTAAAATGTTCCCACCAAAGAAAGTTCCTGGGGGGAAAAAAGCAAACTTCTGTCGCTATTACTTAAAAACACAATTTTGCGTTTACGGTTAATATTTATTTTATGAATTCATTATCCTCACTCATTTTCTTTAGTGTATGAAAAAAGTGTAGATTAAAACATATTCTAAATAATGATTTCATTTTCCTAACGGTACGGATTGTTTTGACAACGGGACGTACTTAACAATTCACCGAAAAACTTTTAATTGCTGCAATTTTTCAACTTTTAAAGTCATTTCCTTAAACGAAGGTAACGATTTGGGAAAAAATATTTGGTGTAGTTATTTTTTATGTCACACCCCAACTATCATCACCATTGCATCACCGGGGTTCCAAAATCGACCTGCCCTACCGTTGCATACCCGCTCCCACTTTTACTTTCGATACGTTCCGTGAGTAACAAATTCTTCCAAATCCTTTGCCTAATTATATTCCACAGAAATCTTTCTTTCAAGTTCTCTGTCGTCGAGAATGAGATCACAGCAGGACTAAACTCAAGACACAAATTGATTTGTGGCGTTCCCAAATATAAAAAACAAAGATATGAAAATAAAATCATTAAAAAAACATAAAACTTTGTTATATAAGAATAAAGTGTCGCTGCCGACACTGGAGTTTGAACACAGATCACCAGAGAGGAAACGCAGGCTATCACATTTTGAATAAGATCACGTGATGGCAAAAAAAAAAATGTATATATGGGAATTAGCGTGGCGTCTAAGTGATCACTATTTCTGCACTATCCTCTGTTATTATACGGATCACTATTCTCTATACTATTCTACTATACTATTTCTCTACACTGATCGCTATACGGATTACTATTCGGTGGTTACTGTTTGAGCGTGTGTTACCGAGCAAGTACTATTAGTACGAGTGTTATTCGAAGGCGGCTGACAACAGTTTTGTTCAACGGCGTTACTATAGTTGTATCTGCGATTACAAAGTCTCTACTACAACGAGCATTACTAAAGTGACAACGAGTATTCGTTGACATTACAAAAGTGGCAACGAGTGTTCGTTGACATCACAAAAATTTAAAATAAGGCATTTGCTTTCCTTAAAAATCCATATATCTTTTTATTCCCTTTCTACCCTTCTTTCTATATAGTTCTCTTGTCAGCTAATGAGAAGACAACTCTCATATAAAATGAGAAAGATGAAAATACTGGACGACAGCTGCAAAACGGAAGTTCGCTAGTGCAGGATTTAGTTTATCGTGACTAGAAATCGTCACAAAACGAGAGGATCCACGCTTATTTTCAGCTATAAAAACAGAAAACCAAAACGGAACGCCGAGAACAGAAAAGAAAAGAAAACTTAATTTGGTCCAATCAAAAGTATCATGCGACTTTTGATTTTAGCCGAAATGAGTTTCGCGCCAAGCCGACTAGAGACTTCCACAATTGTATCAAAAGGAACACGAGAAAGTTAGAGTAAGACTGACAGAGACAGCTAGAGAGACAGCCAGAAATCACGCCCGAACGTGTCGCGCGAAGAACTAAGCGGTCCTCTGCTTAAGTCATTTTCCGCCGTTTTCTCGGATAAAATAATCAGCTGATTTGTACTGCAACATGTTTCCAAAGTAACCACATTACTTAAAAATTGAACGCTTTCTTTTGAAGATGAATCAATCCTTGTCCATCGACTGAAATAAAATTTCTAGAATTTTCGATAAATATAACTAAAACTCTATTGCTTTCTCCACAGAAATTAGTATATTAGAAATTACAAAACTGGATTGTCAATCATCACTCTCATTTCGAAATATAACTAATTGAATTTGCTCAGTTTGTATGCTTATACAGGGGAAAAATTATACTTAAATACTTTTTTTTCTTTTTGAACATAGTATGTGCTGTTAGTAAAAAGGCTATAAGTCTTGGAAAGTGGAATCGGCGAAAAATTTCAAGCTCAGTCTGGTTTGCGAAAGGCATGAATCCATCATCAAGCTCTTTCAGGGTAAACTGAGCTCTCTGACTTTTTTGGCAGTCAGTCTAGAAGAAGGACTACTCTGAATTCAAACGCGCAGAGAAGGCAACTGGAAACCTATCCACTATGTTTCCCAAGATGTCACAGTAATTCATAAATGGTAATTAAAAGGATTCTTTGGAGAGCTATGATCGCTTACGTTCTGAAGGAACATGGAATTTAAAAAATAACCAAAGCTACATTTTCAGTATCTCATGCCACCTCGCGCAACCGCTGTAATTCAGGTCAAAGGAGAAGTTACATTTAAAAGGCAACTGTTATTTCGGTCTTCATTTTAGGCATGTATTAGTGCGTCTTTCAATAAAATCGACACGATTGATTGAAATTAATGTAATTGATTGTATTTTATCTTAATTAAAAACACTTTATTGCCAGTTGCTAATCACACAAAAGATAGCGTAATGTCGGGAAATGATTAACGAGTGATTGTCGTTAATAGTGAATTCGATCTTCAATAAATGTTCCATACCTGCGAAAAACTTACTAAAAATGTAGCCTTGTGCCAAACCTTAGCTGCGCTTAATAAATAATATCTGCTCGTTAGACACTGATATATAAGGTAAAGATTCTTTAGACGTTATTCGATCAAGGCTAGTATCCTTACAAAATATCTATCTCTTAGTCTATTCACTAATACTTACTTACCTTCTATCTATTTATCGATCTCCCTATCTCTCTCTCTCGCTCTATCTATCTATCTATCTATCTATCTATCTATATATATATATATATATATATATATATATATATATATCTTAGTCTAATAACTTTTACTTACCATCTATCTATTTATCGATCTTTCTATCTGTCTATCTAAAACAGTTAGTATCTATCTGTCTATCTATTGTAGTCAGTATCTATCTATCTTTTACACTCAGTATCTATCTCTATCTATCTATCTATCTATCTATCTATCTCTTCTATCTATTAGTCTATTCTCTATTACTCCTTGAAGACATGGCACAGTGGATAAAGACGTTGGTTAGATCCAGTGACAAGACCCAAACAGTGTGAGTTCAATACCCGGTTAAGGCAGTGGAGAACTTTCAGAGGGAAATTAACAGGAGATAACTGATAACCGAGATCCATTACACATGGCACGTGGAACTAGAACAGTCTACCCCAGTGAGCGAAAAAAAGAGTTCTGTTCGACATTCCAACCACCTGAAGAAGGCCGAAGCGTTGTAGTAAATATGACGTCAAAGATGGAGACAATAGTCCGAATAATGTAATGTAGGCAGATACTGTTTATCTACCTCTTACTCTATTCACTATTACTTAACATCTATCTATCTATTACACACAGTATCTATAGATCTATCTATCTATCTATCTATCTGTTGCATTCTTCTCTCTCGGTCGTTGATCACTAGTTGTTTTGATTCAGAAATAAAATAACTTCAACACAGGAAATTTTAGGTAGTTTATTAACGTCAGCGAATACATCTTCTAACTAGCCAGTAGGGTTGCTCTTTTCTTCCACTGGGAAGCCGTTTCAGACACGAAAGTCAACACACCTACATTGTTTGGCCGCTAAGAAACAACTCCCCAAACATTTCTATGTATCTATCGTTCTCACGCTGACTCAGCCAATCGCAACTGACTTCCTTGTTTTGTCTTCTGTCTGAACCCTAAGGTCAACCACAGAAAGTCTGAAGAGAGATAGTCTGCTAAATTATTATTTAACATATCTATCTAACTATTCTGTATCTATATCTATCTATCTATCTATGGATGCATTTCGTCTTTACTCTATAGAGAAAATTTAAGCCATTCATAACGACAACCACAACAACAAGAATAGCGAATTTGAAGGCACCTAAGCCGCTACAAATTTATATTTGTGATTAATGTGTTTTGAAGTTAGACAATGTACAAGTTCTGGTAGTCTTCTGCGTCTGTGTAAACATTAGTCAAGAAGATCACTACAACATTGGGTATAGAACACTGGAGATATATCTTGGACATTTATTAGAAAAAATATTTGAGGACATTCATATATTAAATGGCGATTATCATTGTTCAAGCACAAGTTCTTAGGGCCATTTTAAATTCTTTATAGCTTAAAGAGATATCATTTTAATTGTGATATTTTTCAAATGATACTTTTTTTTACTTCCACTACATGATGCGGACATGTTATTCCTTCATAATTTGTCTTACTTTTAAATCGTCTTATACGTAACACATACTGTCACGTATTATAGATATGGCGACCATATCATGTCACCTAACCGACCATATCATGTCACCTAACCGACCATATCATGCCGCCAAATCGACCATATCATTCCGCCTAACCGACTATATCATGCCATCTAATCGACCATATCATTCCACCTAACCGGCTATGACATGCCACCTAACCAACCATAAAACCCCTAACCGACTATATATCATTTAACCGACCATATAATACCACCTAACCGACTATGTGATATCATTTAACTGACCATATAATACCACCAGCCAACTATATCACGCCGCTTAACCGACCATATCATGCCACCTAACTGACTATATGATGCCACCTAACCGACCATGGTACCACCTAAACGATTATATCATGCCAACTAACATACCATATAATGCCACTAAACCGACCATATCGAGCCCCCTAATCGAATATATCATGCCACTTAACCAACCATATAATGCCACCTTACCGACCATATCAGGCTAACTAGCCGACTATATATTGCCTCTTAAACAACCATATAGTGCCCCCTAACCGAATATGTCATACCACTTAACCGACCATATTATGCCACCTAACTTCTTTCTGCAGTGCCTTAGACATGACGTTTATAAATGGCGATAACTGAAACGTATCCAAACGAGTATTACAAATATGGAAGTGGAAACGGATTATAATTAGATAAAAACAAAAGGAAAAGCTGTACTTGTAATTGTCAGACAGAATTTTGTTTAAAGTGAATTAATTATCAACCCAAGTCATAAAACATCGAAGAAAATAGGTTATCACACTATCACGTGTGTGATGTTGTATTTCGAATCTCGTACTACCCGGAACTAAATTTAAAATGCCACCGGTCAGACGAGAAAGAAAAAAGGGCGGTAACACCGTACTCGAAGCCGCGCTCGTGGACTGTACCCTCGATATGATAATATGTATATTTTTGTATATGCCAGTGTCTACTTCTAAAATCTTATTAAACATAAGACAAGTAGAGTGGTAGGAGTATAGTGTCATCAAGTTATAAAAAGAAATGACAAAGTGTTATAGATTGCTGCTTGATATTATATTGCCCTTCCCTTAACCAGAATAACGGCGACTACGAACTTGGCATGATGTCGAAGAGTCAAAGTGCGGTTATATCTATTTGGCAATATCACAAATATGCTTCACCAAGTGAACTTAAATATAATGATGAATCAGAGGAGGTCAGTAATAATCATAATCGTTTTGAATATGTGGTCTTCTAAAGCTCATGAAATCAGTACAGCCTTCCCCCAAGGCTCTATTCTCGCTCCCGCCATATTTCTGACGTTTTATTAACTGTTGTAGCATACCTACGTACGATAATGGGCATGTCCCCATTCATATAAAGTAGTAAATACTGTATGTTGGTCTACACTTGGAGATTCGTCTCCAGCTGTGAAGGTCAAACTCTCTGCCTCCGCGCAGAGAGGATTCCCAGAAAAGGTTATATCAAATGATATACTCTCGTCTCGGGAAACAGCTACCCTACCCCGTTTTACACGGGGTCTACGAAGAGTTTTTAGCCGAGCCCCACATTCAATTCGTTTTTGTGTCACTTCTGACCACGTAAGGCGGTTCGTAGATATCCTGCAGGTGGAAATTAATTGTGGAATTCACTTGACTCATTTCTAGCAGTGGACCTAGTTCTGCGCGCCGCTGGCGAATCTTATATGTGTTGATCTTGTCCTAAGTATTATCGTTCATTACCAACCTTCGTGTGATTATTCTATTCAGTAACCTTCCCTAGGTTACAACATTAACAATTCACCAAAATTATTGTTAGATCAGTATTCAGCATATATTCAGACGTGGCAAGCTTTTCACTTCTCTGTCGCTAGTTCCGTAGAAAGTTCTCGAACGAACTATATTCTTTGCTTCCACCAGCTCTACCCTTCACGGCTCGAACCCGCTATGCCACTTACATTGTAACAAACCACCTACATTACTTCCGTGTTCCATAGTGAGAGGTTCAATTCGAACAGTTTCTTCCAGCGAACCACTGCTCTGTGGAAACAACTCCCAAGAGGATGTTTTCTCGATCACTGCCATCTTATCTGGTTAATGTCTAGAATTAACTGTTATCCTCCTCTCCTATCCGCATAAACTATACCTTAACATAACCCTTTACCTTGATTGGCTCTCTGGCCTTGAACAGGGTGGATCTTACTGTAAAAAACCGTCAAGAATCAATATGATGAGAGCCTTGGAGCTTTCCTCTGACCTCCGGCAGCACAATGAGGAAAACTTGGTTTGTAATTTTCATTACTTCAAAAATAAACCTTGTATCGTTTCATAATAACTAACCAGAACCTGTGTTTTCCTCCGTTAAAGCTGAACTGTCGAACTCTTAAGGGGTGGGGGCCATGTTTTGAAGGTTTATCGAGACTTCAGTCCAGACCTCAAATGGGACTCATATCTACTATCCATTGCTGAAGATACCGGATGCCGGGCTGGAGCCGCCCAATGCTCACTTTCCTATGTTCAAAAGCATTTACAACCATCGACGAAACTTTGCTCGCCTCTCGCTATTCTATCGTTCTTTTCATGGTAAATGTTTAGACAAGCTATATTCCTTATCTCCGCCCGTTCATATTTTCACAGCTCGGACTCGCTATGACACATACAAAGGGGTCAACCCATCCTCACTCTTTTCGTATTCTTTTGGAAAGGAGGATGCCCCACTCAGAAAGTTTATTCCCCAAAACTGTTACATTGTCGAACAAGCTTCGGAAAAGATGCTTCCTCGATTGCAACAATCTTAACCTCTTCAGGTGTAGGGTCATCGTACAGAGAGTACCTGACTTATTCCGAGCTTTATCTTTACAAGAATCGAATTAGACCAGAAATGGTGTATTGCTGCTATATATGGGCAGGAACTTCACAATCTTAACTTCCCAGACATGATAGAGCTCAAAATCGTTTATGCAATCTTGTAGAGAATTAATTATTTTTCCACCTTGCAGCCACTTTCCCACAGAAACAATGTCACAACCCTATTGCTACTCTAACGCTATTTCCATAGCAAATGTTCAGATGAACTCTACTCTTTAGTTCCACCTGTTCAGACCTTTAAATCTAACTCGGCATGCTACGTCTACAAAGCCGAACCACCCACATTTCCTCCGTATTCCAATAGTAAGAAAGAAGTTCCATTTAAATTTTTCCAACGAACTGCTCCTGCGTGGATGCTTCCTTGGGCACTACAATCGTATCAACTAAAGACAAACATCAGTCAGTATCTATCGCCCTTAACATTATAATTTTCTCTTCATCTTACCCCTTTTTGTATTCATATCACACACCTTTTATTTACTAACCTTCTACCTTGAGTGGCTCTTGAATCTTGCATTTGGATGAACTTAAATGTAAAAAAATAATTCCCAACGCCGAGGCACCCTTTAAAATTCAAAGCTTAGCTTATTTTAGCACAAGGCCATCGATATAGATATTTACTTGACCCCCCCCCCACTGAGTCAGGTTGTGACACAAGGTCACTTTTTAACGTGGGGACACCGAGTGTTTTCACCGATATGTTGCACCCAGCGAGAATCAATGTAATTCAAATCGGAATAGGTCGCTAATCATTTCCCTATGCTGAGGCACCCGTTAAAATACTAAACTTAACTTAATATTAGCATAAGGCCATAAGGTCAATCTCATTAATCAGTAGTAATGTTCATGTAGAATTGTTGGTTTACCATTAGCTCAACCCGAGGCGACTTCTTGTTGGTGTATAGTAATTGTATTATTTAAAAGGCGACGTCGGTATGAATCTGGCTTTGATTATTAGTTTTGCAAAAGAGAAATATCGTCAGGTTTATTTCTTTTCATTTGTTATATTGCCAAAGCGAGAAAAACGTTAAAAAGGAGGAAAAAACATTCGAAGCTTTCTTTCAGCAATATTAAGAAGAAAAAAAAGAAAAAATAATAATTCTTCCCATTTTTAAAAATGTAAATTCATATTTTTGAAAGATATTTTCCCACAAATAAAATAACAAAACCAGTATTTTCAAAGGGAATTTGAAATATTTTAATGTTATTCGGTGCAGATGGATTTTAGAGATCTTTGCTTTTCTTTTACTTCTTTGTTTTTATGGTTTTCATTATTTTAATTCCTGGAAGGTTTCACAGGATTTTGGTTCCATTTGTTGCTAACGTAGAAAATGATATTAGAAAATATATAAAGATCCTAAAAGCTAGGAGTTGGAATTTGTAAAACAAAATTATTTTCCTTTTCTTTTAAATAATTCCATGACATATCAAAAAAGCAACTAACTTTCGATAGAGAAAATAATGATACCGCTTTTGTAGAAACAGACACACCATATATCTATATCTGTAAACTATGGCTGTCCGATGTGTAAGTAGCGTAAACGATTATATTTAGATTTGATTTTACGATAAGCGACAATGAAGTCTTCAAAACAATCATCCGTTCCCTCAAAGTAAAGAAAGTGCAAATGAATAAATAAATATATAAAAGTTTTAGGATCAAGTGCCACTCAGTGTGATGTCGAGAATTCCGGTCGTAGACTTATATATTCAGTAGAATGAGCTGTGACGGACGGCTGAAATGCCTTTGACTGTGCGCAAGAGTCCTGGTTAGAGAAGAAAAACGCACTGTTATGATGTAACGATAATTGTAAAAACATCAGTACAACCCCATACAAAGCTGTAAAGCCAATAAGATACAAGGGGTTACAGGGTGCGGAAGAATTGGGATCTGAAACATTAATAATGAACGGAAGAAAAAAGAGTAATCGGGGGGGGTAGATAGCGATTGACATTGCATTTAAATTTTTACAGATTAAAGTTGGCTGGAAAGCATGGCGCTGGAAGGGTGTTCCACAAGCGAGGTGCCAGAAACGAGTCCGTTAGCATAGAAGTTACGGCTACATCTAGCTAGCTCAACTGTAAATTGATGTGAAGAATTGCGCTTAAAGTCATACAGTCTAGGTAACATCATGAAGAGTTACCATGAAAGTATTTATTAAAAAATAGCACAAAGAGGCTACTTTACGGCAGTGGACACATGACTGAAGCCGATCTGTCAGATCAGGACCAATAATATTGCTGATTCTTCTTTGGATCTTATTAAGGAGATCCAGGTAAATAACAGGAGAACCGGACCATATGTGGTAGCAATATTCTAAGTATGGATGAATAGTAGACTTATAGATATGTAAGATAGATTCTGAGAGAAAAAATTGTCTACTATGATAAAGTGAACCAACTTTCTTATCAGCTGATCTAGCAATGGATTCAATATAGTCTTTCCACTTCATGTCAGCCAAAAACATTAGCACAATAAGGTGCAGTGAGTCACTCTCCTTGAGGTTAGAAACATCCCCGCTGATGGAAGGCATAGTAGAGTCTCTGAGAAAATTGAAAAGGAGAGACGGTTTGAGCAAAAGAGAAGATCTGATTTGTTAGACTGTCGTGACAAAAGACAGCAGTAGCAGCGAAGATGCCCCGAGTCGCACTTGCCTACGACCCATTTAAAACCGTAAATTAAAAAGAAAAACTTCCCAATATATTGAAAATAATTGCGTTTTCTTTTCTGACCCTGACGTCATATCAATTTCCCGTATTCTTGTGAGTGTACATCGTACTTTTCTTAGTTTTTGTGCACCCCGACGCAGACAAGAATGGAAACACTGAGGAGTGAAATTCTCTAGTCGGTAAGTAAAGACAGCAAGTATATATTTGCACGTAACATGTGAAAATGGCCAGAGGTCACAATATATAGGCGTTCATTTTGTCTGCTTTAATAAAACAGTATACTAAGCTCGCTCGGATATTCAATTCCCACGATACTTATTTCTATAAATCATCACTAAATTTATAGGTTTATTGTCTCTCTGAAACCAACACTGATCGAATGTGTCATATTTCTTTTTATTCTTGCAGGCCAATATTCAGTCTTTATCAAAGATCTATCTCATTCTGTTCATATCTATCTCATTATGTCCATATCTATCAATCTCATTCTGTTCGTATCTATCTATCTCATTCGATTCATATCTCTCTCATTATGTTCATATATATCGATCTCATTATGTTCGTATCTATCTCATTCTATCTATCTATCTATCTATCTATCTATCTATCTATCTATCTATTTCATACTGTTCATATCTATCTCATTTTCTTCATATCTATCGCATTCTATTAATATCTATCTACCTCATTCTATTCATATCTATCTATCTCTTTCTGTTCATATCTCTCTCATTCTTTTCATATCTATCTATCTATCTATCTATCTATCTATCTATCTATCTATCTATCAGTCGGTCAATTGCTATTCCGTTCATATCTATCTATCTATCTGTCTGTCTGTCTGTCTGTCTGTCTATTTCATATTGTTCATATCATTCTGTTCATTCCTATCTATATATCTATCTATCTCATTCTTTTCATATCTATCTATCTCATTCTGTTCATATCTATCTCATTCTTTTCATATCTATCTATCTATCTATCTATCTATCTGCCGATCAGTTGCTATTCTGTTCCTATCTATCTATCTATCTATCTATCTATCTATCTATCTATCTATCTGTCTGTCTGTCTGTCTGTCTGTCTGTCAGCTGTTTTGTTTCACTTTATTTTTCTCTCATTGAAAAATTTGCTTTTCTCGGTAGATCAGAATATATTTAGCGGAGACGACCCTGCCAACACTAAATTAAGTACAATTGGGACAATGGAATTAAATAAGGCCCTAGTAATTTATATTTGCAATTGGAGAATTATGAGGTTAGACAAGGTACAAAGTCTTGTTAGTCTCTGGCGTTTTGTTAAATGAAGAAGATAGCCGTATCGTTGCATATAAACCTGGGTTGATATAACTTAGACATTTGCTATCAAAAAATGGGATCTTTTTTTTAATATTTATTGTTACGTGATATCCACCCGCTTGTATGGCAGAGAGAGCTGGACAATTTCCTCAGAGATGAAAAAAGACTTGAAGCAACAGAAAAATGTTGTTTTATAGAAGTATTCTGAGGACGCCATGAACCAAACATATGAGCAACGACGAAGTTTTAGAAAAAAATGAAAATAAAAAAGGAACCTTATATTTAACATCATAAAGAAACAGTTGAGGTTTCTGGGACACATAATGAGGAAAGATTGCTTGGAAAATCTGACACTGACAGGTCATATCAAAAGCAAAATGGATGCAGCAAAACAATGCATAACATAGTGAGCTTGAGTGAATGGATGACGAAACAGGGTCTAGGAGACAGAAAACTGTGGCGGGCCATGATTTCCTAAGTGCTGAAGGGGAACACAGAAAGAAAATATATTACATAACGGCTACCATTTTTCTATAACCTTTTGGATTTAAGGCCATTTTTAATTCTTTGTCACTTAAACATTTACTGCGTTCTCTAACTGACATGTACATACGAGTCATTGGTAATTGGTCATACATTTGGTTTGTCTTGTACTAAACTCACACTATCATGTATTTCAGACATCGTGACCATATCATGCCACCTGACTATAATCTAATCAACCATATAATACTACCTAATCAACCATTTCAGAGCACCTAACTTACTATAACATCCCAACTAATCGACCATATCATGTTACCTAACCGACCATACCATCCCAACTAGTTGACCATATCATGTCAACTAACTTACTATAACATGCCAACTAATCGACCATATCATGCCACCTAACCATATCCAACCAGCCATTCATGCCACCCAATCAGCCATATCATACCACCCAATCAACCATATCATACCACCCAACCAACCATATCATACCACCCAACCAACCATATCATGCCACCTAAACAACCATATCATGCCACCCAACCAACCATGTCATACCACCCAACCAAACATATCATGCCACCCAACCAACCATATCATACCACCCAACTAACCATATCATACCACCCAACCAACCATATCATGTCACCGAACCAACCATATCACACCACCTAACTTCTTTTTGTAGTTCCTCAGACACAATGTTCATAAATGACGATCACAGAGACGTATCCAAAAAGAGTATAAAAAGATGGAAGGGGAATCAAACTCATATTAAGTAAAGCCAACAAGAAATCTATTTTGGAGTACTTGCAATCATCAGACAGAATTTTAATTAAAGCGAATTACTTGCAAATGTCTATTATAATATTAGATGCACCTACGCCATAAAACACCAAAGAAATTTATATATTTTAAAACATTCTCGAAGATTCCAAATATCAGACAAAGTTAAAAGACATTATCCTTGTTGTGGAATCAAAATATATTAAATTTTGGGATAATTTCGATGTTCAGTATGGAAAACATTTAAAGAATCACGAGTGATAACAAAAATAAGTCATCATGAGAATAAAGCAACAAGAAGGTGCACCTCCAATAATGTAGATTATCAGATCTTTGAAGATTATTTCTCCTCTGACCTCTCTCGCACAGCTCGAGGCGGGAAAGACTGGCTTTCATTCAATATATCCCAAACTAAGCTACTAACGTTTCATCACCACCAAGCTGAGCATGAATTTTCTCCAGTCCAGATGAACGTTTGTATTGCCACTTGAACGTCTATTGGGAACGAAGTTCATTCCAGACCTCCAATGCTCTATCTTTACAATCGTAAGATCATACGAAAGATGGAGTATTGTTGTCATGCCTGATCTAGAGTTGCCCATTCCTCACTTTCAATCCCTGGCAAAATCTTTTACGTGGCTTATGGGCGATTAACTATTTCCCACCCTACAACCTCTTTTCCCACAGTCGGAACATTGCTTGCCTCTCGCTAATTAGTCGCTCTATTTATGGCAATCGTTCAGATAAGCTACATTGCTTAGTTCCATCAGTTCAAAACTCGAAAGCTAGGGCCCACCATGGTCGACTCATCCTCATTTCTTTCGTATTCTATTGGTCGGGATGTAGTTCCACACAGATAGCTTCTATATATCCTCATGATATACATTTCTTACCCCCTTTACGCACTTACAACATGCCCATTCACAACCGCTTGGGTGTCGCTTAGGACTTTATTGGATGAACAATAACAAAAAAAGGAAAATCCTCGACCTAATAAAAGAAAGGTCGAAAATAACGCCATAAATGAATGCAGGCAAGCAAAAAAGGAACGATTTAACGGGAAATGTGTCAAGATCGAAAAATTGTAGAATTTAGACATTTAAAGAGGTATAAAAAGATGAAACATATAGCAGGACAGAAAATGGACTCTTCGATAAGATATATAAAATATAAAAGAGAAAATTCATCATGGGAAAAGAAAAGGTTCTACAGAAATGGATTAATAGATAAGAGAATTCTTTCATGACAACAGGAGAGAACTCAATCATGTACAAAGGCGTGGAAAATTCAGTAATAATTAAGCGTACTGGCCAGGCAAATACTGGAGGAACAAAAGAGAAGAACCATATAAAATTGCAAGAAAGTTACCGACAGCTTTAGACAATTTAGGAATAGACAATGGAAATAAATGGGTGACAGAACTAATTTCAACTCGGAACTAATTTCAACTCGATTTAAAATCAAAGTTATCAATTAACGTGAATTCCTAAACAAAATGCAATGAGTTGGTGTTAATGTATTAATTTAGCATTAAAAAAAAACTTAGTAGATAAGATAATTCAAAATTCATCTTTTCTGCAACTTTCATTCTTTTTTTGTTGCAAACGGATAAAATGGTACTTTTTTTAGTTACTTTTATTCATTTAATTCTGATCCAATAAAAATGCAATGTTCTTTGCAGCAAGAACAGTAGATTGCTTAACTGTTTTTGTTTTTTTTTTATTGTAAAAATTTCTCGTTCAAAAGAAACCGTTATTGATCAAAATTTAAGAAAATCTCTAAAATTAAATTTTAATTTTGTTTGAATAGTTCCGAGTTGAAATTAGTTCCGAGTTGAAATTAATTCTGTACCCCAAATAGATGACACCAGTGAGATACATGAGAAATTCAAACGATCAGTCGCTATAACGAGGAGAATGAATGCGAAATCTAACCGAAAATCAACTTACTGAGTCTTATAACAAATTTAATAATTACGATTCTAATGAATACAACTTGTAGCAGAACTAGACGAATAATAGGAGAAAAATATGCGCTTTCCTTCATGACGCCAGAAGAAAGAAATGTCTTCTGCATGATAAGAATGTTGACAAGGACATATGCAGTAGAGTTATGGCTATTAGCGCGGAAAGAGTAATCATCGAGCAGAGTTCAAATTCTGGTCTAGTATACTGCGTTCATTTTCACATATATGTCTTTGGGAATGGCATGAATTCGTCTCTTCTCCACCCACCAGCTATGGGTTAAATAACACAGTAGACTGGAATCTCTAGTTTTGGGTGGCAACCAATCTAATAAAGGACAAATTTTGTGGAGAATCATGGTCTCTTAGTCTAGAAACCGAATAGGATTTATTATTGGAAAATGTAACCATAACGACATCTGCTACGGAGACATCGCCGTGGTGATAGCAGATACATTCTGGAAGCTGAAAAGAACTATTAGACAAGGCATTCACTGAACACAAAATATAACTAAGGAAGGGGAAGTCTTATGTGTGATTGACGTATCAAGTGAGATTTAAATATGTGGGTATAAGAGTATCAGATTCTCAAGGCCTTCCTTCCTCATTATGTGTCCCAGAAATTTCAGCTGCCTCTTCTTGATATTAAGTATAAGCCTTCTCCTTATTTGCAACCTCGCTAATATGTCATCGTTGCTCATACGCTCGGTCCATGGTATCCTTAGAATCCTTCTGTAGAACCACATCTCTGTCGCCTCGAGTCTACTGAAATATAAAATGTGCATCATGTATTTATTATATTACTTAGCAAAGAAAATATTTTTAGAGAATTTAATGATTGATTGATTCGTTTTTTTTTACGGATTATCAACCCTTTACTATCTTTATCTAAAGCCAGAAAATATTATTAGATTGTAAGATTTTGGGGTGAGGAGATAATGATTGCTGATACAAGTCTTACTAATTAACCCATAGCTGGTGGAGAAGAGGCGAATTCATACCTTTCCCAAGGGTATTTGCATGTAAGTTAATATAACGAACCCAACTGGAATTGGAACTCGGCTCTCCGATTAACAATTCCAAGCCATTATCCATTACAGCACCTGGTATTCCCAAAGGGCCACCCATCTAGGTACTGGACAAGCTCGACGTTGCTTAACTTCGGTGATTGTACGGGAACAGGTGTTTCAACGTGACGTGGCCATAGGAAAACCGACATAGTGAGCCAGTTCTAATATCTATAACAAGAATAATATTTATGGAATCAAAGATCAATTTTTTTTAGACAAAAGTGACAAGAACGTGTCACGTGTGTTATCCTGCAAACACACGTAACACACTGTTTTTTAAGAATATTAGTAATTTATTTTAAATCATTTCACCCCTAGCAAGGCAATAAAACCATTAGAACGCAAGGGGATACTGAGTGTTAAAGAATATGAAAAACTCTACTCTTAAGGAGAGAGGACAATAAAAGTACAAGAATTTTGAGATAACCAGTGACATTGCATTTAAATCTTTGTAGATCAAAGTTTACTGTGAAACAAGAAGCCGGGAAAGAGTTCCACAAGCGAGAGGTGTGAGGGAAGAAAACTATTAGAATACACTTTAATATACATGCGCAAAACATTCAATATCAACGCCATTAGTTTCGCTTGCGGTGTCAATTCGGCTTCTAAAACGATTATATCCGTTGATCAGCTATTATCTTCTCATGTCAGCCATGGCATTCCCGATAACAGCCTTGAGCGAGTTCTTTGTTTTGCGGTCAGGTTTCTTGTTATTCCTCTCAATGAAATCCTAGGTGTAAAAGTTTAATGTTTAAATCCAGAGATCTAGGAGGTCAAATGTTAGGGCTAATATGATCGGGAAATTGCTTGACTTTGTTAAGCAAGAGTTTCGACCGGATCACATATAAAATTTTAATGTGAACTGCTCTCTCTTCATATCGTATGATTTGTATCTAATGTCTCCAAGCACCACACGTTTGATTGTTGACTTCAACGCATGTAAATTATATTAAATATGTATCAATTTACATATCCGTCCAGAGATTATATGTCTGAGGCTAATAAAAAAAAATCCGCTACATATATTGGTTTTACTACAACCACGCTCTCCTGTAGACTTACCTGTCACATTTCTTAGAAAAACATAGCCATGTACATAATATTAAATAGATATTAGTTGATAACACAATAATACACGCACATATCCAAAGTAAAAAGAACCTTCAGATATTGGAGGCCATCTACATTAAAACCCACACTCAATAAAATTACATTTCAAACTACTGACAACACATTACATTGCATCTGGATATTGGTTCTGTTGTAATACTTCAGTCTATCGCGTGGTATGACGTCATAGAACCGCATCTTGAACTGATGATCTGCATCTTCTATTCCTATTCTATGACGATCTGAATATTCTATTCTATTAATGTCGCATAGCAATTTTCTGTCAAAATAACTGTTATACTAGAACATTACCTATTCTATTGTAATAGACTCTCCCACACATAATAAGTAATAGTAGTAGTAGCGTTCGACAGTTGAGCTCAGTGGAGTTGAGTGAGTCAGTCGATGTCGGACATCAACCACCACAACTAGATTGCTGCGTCATTAATTATTATTGCAAGTTCCTAACGTTTTGTACGTCGGGCCCTTTTAGGACCGACTTAGCGAAATACAAGCCTCCACTGTGAAAACTACTCTACAACAATAACAAAATATCATCTTTGACGGTGGATATCTTTGTTTCATGTCTGTATAACCACTCTGAGGATGGCTCATGTGAGTCGAAAGCTTAGGACCAACTGAATAGAAAAAATATCCAAATATTGCAAACATTCAAACATTAGAACGGCTCATGATCAAACATAATAGACATTCATTGTCTGATATATGTAATAATGTTTAAAAAATAAATATATAAAATATACATATATAAAATATACAAAAAATATACGTATATATAAAATATACATTAAAATTAAAATATACATTAAAATAGATATATACGTAATAATAGAAGAAAAATAAGTAGTCTTTATTTAATATACTATAATAATATACTAAACAAATACTACCATATGATAAAAATGCTAAAATTATTATTTTAACTAATGCTATCACTGTTTGTAAACTATTTTGAATATCCTTCAAAAAAGAAATAAATACATGCCCTGGATCGTATAATTTTTCAGCAAATGAAATCTAGATGAGATTGTAAGGTTTGAAAAAGGCAGATCACTCAGTTTTTTCTTGCACATGTAGATAATTTTCTTTAATGTACATCACATATTGAAGAACCATGTACGTACTTAAATAGCACCATATTTTTCTTTTGGCCACTGAAGACACATTTTTGAGAGAGGTGTGGAGTTCTTTTTTCATCTTAAACACAAAGGACTTGGTGACATTTAAAATTTCTGCAAACTTCAAATCTGGGGAGTTGGCGACTAATCCAATCAGCTCGATATGCATTTTCATCTCTTGAGTCGAAACTTTTATGGTGGCAGCAAAAAAAAAAGAAAATATTATTAGATATAATTGGCCACGTACTGCAAATATCTGACGCACACATATGTAAATAAAAGCTTATAATATAAATATCTATCTGCATGCCTTCCTTTTCGAATAAAATATTCTGCTGCAAAATACGAAATTATGTTACTAGCGAACGTTCTTTCGACCTCATTGATAAAAATCTGGTATCTTTTTTTATTTTTTTTGAAGTCGCTCTTTCTAGATTGGTGTGTAATTTTTTTAATTTTCAGAAAAGTAGGTCTTGGCAAATATAACCATTCATAAAGCTTGTAAACATTTTTGTAGATCAAACGACACTTGAATGACATTTCATAAGTACAGGTGAGAAATTGCCGTAAAGAAAAAGTTTCCACAAAATGTGTTTTACAAGGGAACTCTTAACAAATAAATGTAATTATCGATGCCATGAGTACAATGTTTTAATTAAATTTCAACAATTACATGAATTTGTGTAGAGTTTCAAAACGTGAGGAAAAACGATAGTGTCAATTCTTGTGAAATCGAATCGTTGGAACGTGTTGAAAGACGTTTGTTCCTAAATTAATTTTCCTATCTCTTAATACTTAGCTCAGCTTTTGAAAAGTACCTTTCTCAGCAGTTTCTTATCGGCTCGTTGGTTAATGAAGTTTCATAGTTAAATAGGTAAGGTCATCGATTAGGTTCATCTTGTTCCCTAAAAGTCGGGAGTTCAATTCTTGCGTCAGCTACTGGAAAAGTAGAGAGGTAGATGAGAATAATGAAGATGGCTATCCGTTTTTAAATTCTAAGGAATATATACTGGCGGTGAATGAAAAAGTATCTTCGGAATTCAAATAGAACAGTCCGTTGGTGATTAACACAATGGTTTTCGTTAAATGGCTTAAGACACACAAAGTCACGTAGGCCCTAAATCATAAATGGCGTCTGGTTTTATGACAAGAGATTGTAAAATATGGACAACTTTAAAACAAGAACTTCTGTCTCCCAGTAGCGGAAAAGGAAATGAAGTAAATAAAAGAAAACTTTGAGAACAAGTGACAAACGGCCAGAGAATACCGACATTAAGCCTTTATACCCTGGATACATATGAGAATGGGTGATGCTGCCCGAGCGCCTTGATTCTACTTATCGGAAGAATACAGCAGTCTCTCTTATTTTTGCGGGTTAGACGAGCCAGGTTTATTTTATTGATTTATTGTGTTCATCCGCCTTCATTTCATGGTAAAATTTTTATATATTATTTATAATAAAATTGTTAGAAAATGGAAGGTAAAATAAATTTGTACATATAAACAAATTTTTAAACATCATGGGTATATTTGTAGGATCCTTGTGAATATGTGGTAGAAGAGATGGATTCATACCTTTCCCAGGTTATTATCCACGTAAGTAGATGTAATGGATTCGACTGGAATTCGAACTCTTCTCTCCGATTCCTCAATCCAAGCCACAATCCATTACTTTCCATGCCTCCTAATAAGCACACATAATCATAAGAAAAAAAGAAGAGATGGATTCATACCTTTCCCAAGGGTATTAGCACGTAAAGGAATGTAATGGATTCGACTGGAATTCGAACTCTTCTCGATTCCTCAATCAAGCCACAATCCATTACTGTTCCATGCCTCTAATAAGACACATAATCAAAAGAAAGAAAAGAAGAGATGGTTCATACCTTTCCCAAGGTATTAGCACGTAAGTCAATGTAATGGATTCGACTGGAATTCGAACTCTTCTCTCGATTCCTCAATCCAAGCCACAATCCATTACTGTTCCATGCCTCCCCTATAAAGCACACATAATCATAAGAAAGAAAGAAGAGATGGATTCATACCTTTCCCAAAGGGTATTAGCACGTAAGGGAATGTAATGGATTCGACTGGAATTCGAACTCTTCTCTCGATTCCTCAATCCAAGCCACAATCCATTACTGTTCCATGCCTCCCTAATAAGCACACACATAATCATAAGAAAGAAAGAAGAGATGGATTCATACCTTTCCCAAGGGTATTAGCACGTAAGGAATGTAATGGATTCGACTGAATTCGAACTCTTGTCTCCGATTCCTCAATCAAGCCACAATCCATTACTGTTCCATGCCTCCTAATAAGCACACATAATCATAAGAAAGAAAGAAGAGATGGATTCATACCTTTCCCCAAGGGTATTAGCACGTAAGGAATGTAATTCGATTCGACTGAATTCGAACTCTTCCTCCGATTCACATAATCAATCCAAGCCACAATCCATTACTGTTCCATGCCTCCTAATAAGCACACATAATCATAAAAAAGAAAGAAGAGATGGATTCATACCTTTCCCAAGGTTATTAGCACGTAAGGGAATGTAATGGATTCGACTGGAATTCGAACTCTTCTCTCCGATTCCTCAATCCAAGCCACAATCCATTACTGTTCCATGCCTCCCAATAAGCACACATAATCATAAGAAAGAAAGAAGAGATGGATTCATACTTTTCCCAATGGTATTAGCACGTAAGGGAATGTAATGGATTCGACTGGAATTCGAACTCTTCTCTCCGATTCCTCAATCCAAGCCACAATCCATTACTATTCCATGCCTCCTAATAAGCACACATAATCATAAGAAAGAAAGAAGAGATGGATTCATACCTTTCCCAAAGGTATTAGCACGTAAAAGGGAATGTAATGGA